CTTTCTTAAAGATTGGTACTAAATTAGCTTCTTTCCAGTCTGATGGTAACTTCCCTTGCATGATGAGGTCTGGAAGAGTGTTGTAAAGATAGGAGCTAGGTAGACTGATAGCTCTTTAAGAAGAGGCATTGGTATTTCATCTGGCCCAGTTGCCTTATGGATGTTAAGGTTACTTAGCAGTTTACACACTCCATTGTTTGTCACTGAGATGTTATCCATGGCAGGATGAGGACTATATTATTTTTCTGAAATAAGATTTACTCAAAAATAGATTCAATATTATTTTTGCATCTTCACTAATGTACTCGGACCTAACAGCAACCAGCACACCTCCACATTGAAAAAAAAGTGAAGTTACGAACAGTGATCGATCTAAAAAAAAAAAAAGCTACAGAGAATACAAATCCGCGAACAGACCACAAAACACGGAATCAAGGAAACACCAGAGGTGGAATCAAGTGCCTAGGAGGAGTAAGCATCCCCTGTTGAGCGTTACGTACCGAATAGGCAGACAACCATCCCATAGTCAAATTAGTATAAAAAGAAAGGCCTAAAAATAGGTATGAAAAACGTCAGCCAAAATACGACCTAATAATAGGTTATATTTGCAAACATTCATTATAACGACCATAGATTTTACGAAATGCTGACTTTAAACGAGGTTATTGAATACCTGTAACATCAACTTATCTATCAGCAGCCTGCCTCGGTTTGAAAAATGAACGTACTCAGAGAATGCTCTTGAGTATCGAATAAACTGGGAGACGTAAACGCCATTTGCAGATGATAGCGGAATATTATTACATAAATAAGGAAAGTTGACGATGGAAAAGCTGAAGTCAACTCGTTTATCATACAATTTAGTTGTTAGTTGGCCCTTATCGTCTATAGTCAGTAAAACATCCAAATATGAAACACATGTGTCAGACTCTGTGATGTCTTTTATTTCAATTTCACTAGGATATATCGAATCGATATATGAATGGAAGTAACTATTGTTAATTGCTAAGAGGTCGTCGATATATGTGAATGTCGGAGTTGAAGGCCACAGCAAGTATTTTCTTCTTCTCATGTAGTATTTTGTGATTTTTCGGAAGGACGTGAGCAAATTTAACATGAATTTATTTATATTTTCTTTCAGCAAGTTAATAATTTTTAAATTTTTGAAAGCCCGGACCTACCTTTAGGACAATGATACAAACAAACTTTATAATAAAAAATTATGAAAATAAGAACCGAAGTCATGTTTATATAAGTAAAAACGATGGGGCCATGATTTGAACAAAGTGTAACGGAAAAGGAGAAAATGTTTGACCGGACCGGGAATCGAACCTAGGACCCCTGCACAACTAAGCCTAGTCCTAAAAGCCAAAGCCTAAGCTCTGTCAACTGAGCTACCCGGGCCGACCCAAACCATTAAATTGTCTTCGACCTCGAAGACACAACCCAAGGTCTCTTTGCCCCTGGCAGGACTTTAACCTCCAAGTCCAGAGGTGGTCAACGGTACCAAAGTATGTAAAAGAAAAGGAGAAAATGTATGACCAGACTGGAAATATAAACCGGGACCCCTGCACCAGTAGTCGGGCGCTCTACCAACTAAGCTACCCAGGCTCAGACTTAAAACATGTTTTCCTATATATTCCCATGTTAAAATCTATTCCTTATTGTGACCTCGCCCTTCCAACATAGGCAATGATTTCTAGCTGCTGTGTCAGGAAGCTTCAATACGTTTCATCTTTTCTGGCCCAGGTTCTTGAGATTTTTAAGGACCCCACCAAATTTTCAAGAGTGAATTTGGAAAGTTTTTCATCATTATATAAAATTTTAGATGTTGGGGTACCTCAAGGGTATGTACTTGGTCCCTTCTTATTTTGTTATACTTAAATGATATAGCTAAAGGTATATCAAGTAAAATTCGATTGTTTGCTGACAATACTTCTTTGTTTGCTATTTATTATATTACTAATCCAACAATATCAATTACTCAAGATCTTGTAAAATTAAGAAATTGATCCAAAGCTTGGACTGTAGATTTCAATAGTGAAAAAACTGTTAATGTTGATTTTACAAGGAAACATAAGTTATCCTGACATTCAATTTGGATATATGGAGGTGAATATATAAAACAATTAAAACACATGTACACATTTTCAGGCAGATGGCTCTTGGAATAATTATATATCAAATATATATGAAAAGGCACGAAACAAAGTATAGACAGAAATTCACTTACGAAAATTTACTTTGTTTTCATAGGACCCATTACAGAATATGCAAACATTGGTGGGATAATTGCTTGAAAAAGTTCAGTTAGAAGCTTCCAGAATTATTACTGGGCTTAGAGTTAATTCCTCCAGATCTTAAATGTTTGTATCGTAAATTTGGATGGGAACCATTACACATTAGAACAGAAAAACACAAACTTCAATTGATATATAAAATAATTAATAGTTCTGCACCTGATTAATTGATTGAATTGATTCAACCTTTTTTCCAGTTCAACACGCATACAACCTAAGGTCTGGATCTAATAACTTGTGTATACCAGTTTGTAAACAATGTCTTACTATAATAGTTTTATTCCCTCAACTATAATACTTTGGAACAGTCTTAGTGAAGATGTCAAAAACTCTCCATCATTATCTATCTTTAAAGCAAAGCTTAAAAAGCTGGGGAGCAACTAATAAACCATGTAGGTACTTCAACTTTGGAAAAGAATTTAAGAGAATATCTTGCATTGTCAGTTGCGAAACAATCTAAATTACATTTAAAAAATCATTTTTTATCAGATGTTCAATCATGAGAAAAGTGTGGATTTTGTACTGAGGATACTAAACATTACTGTAAATCACTTTTTATTCGCGAGAACTTTATTTTTGCGTAATTACGCGAGTCTTTCTGGTCGCGAAAATTTTATTCTCGAGTATATTTGTATTGTTAAGGATTGTATACAACAAAAAGCATGGCTCGCGAAAATTTTGTCTCGCTAATAAATACCAAATAGCTTAAAATAGCGAAAATAAGGTGTCGCTAAAAATATAGCGATCTACAGTATCTTATCAAATGTCCAATATATAAGGTTGAAGGAAATTTACTGGTAACAAAATTAAATGATATTGATGTTGTTTTTGATCTCGACACTCTGTTGAGAGAAAAATGTCGATATTCTTATTAAACATACTGTGAATTTTTTTCATATGTACACGTTTTAAATCTACCAAGAGAACAAACTAAGTATATTGTAATATTGAATACTATTTTAAATGTACAGTTTTAAAATACGCATATTAAAGCTGGTACAGAAAGTAAATAATTTATACATAATTAGGGGGTCATCGTCTTTTTTTATATATTATAATGATGAATGAAACTTGATTGTGAATCTTTATCTTTTATTATTAACATGTTTATTATCATGTACAAGTATTATTACTTATTGTCTTTGTCTTGACCTATTATACAAGGAGAGGCTATGTATAAGCTCTGCCTGTTTCCCGATCAATAAAATATGTTTAAATTTAAATTTTCAATATTTCTTTATCACCTCCACCTGAAAGAGGGCCTGTCCCTTCATTTGATAAATCTGAACGCCAGACAAAATGTGAGCAGAAAGTCTCACTTGAGCTTTCAGCTCAGACGAGCTGAAATTTTGGAATCTGGGGTAAAATTGACCTCACAATGTTTCCGTAAAAATTATTTGTTCAATAAAAAATTATGTGAAGAAATAAAACAATCTCACTTATGGGCGTATGCTGTAGCATTTGAGTGTTTCCCAAACATAATAATTATTAATTGTGGCTAGCCATGACGCTGAGTTGGGTAATATAAATAAGTTCATCAATACTCAATGTTTATTTTTTAAATACTTTTATTATCATCAAAATACATCAAGTTTTATTCATAAACAAAAGTAAATAGTAAGTGAATACCCAACGAAAACGGAACTTTCATAAAAATCATAAATGCAGTTAAAACATCGATAAATTGCACAATCATCGTATAAACAATTTCACAATTGGTCCCAAAAATGGTCCCTAATGATCACAAGATAAATTGTGCTCATGACTTGCACATTAAAAAATTTGAAACTGCTAAAATTTTAAAAAGAATGAATTCTCGATCACTCTCAACCAGAATTAAATCATTCACACCATCCATGTTCAAGCATACCGAGGGAAAAAAAATTACAAAATTTACAGCCTTGTGGTAATGCAAATAACAGAAAACTTAAAAAAAGCAAAACACAGCTTTAAAGTCTCCAATAGAGGTCTATAAAATTAAAAATAGTAACGCCGAGTATCAACTAATAGCAGGGTGTCTGATTGATCATGATGCGTTTTATCTATAAATAGAAATCACAATATGGCGGATTTGTCTTTAAAACTTAGAAATCCTGTTGAAGAATAAGAAAGAAAGAAGGTATTTAAAATCAAAATTGGATCCATCCTGCATATAAAAGTCTGGTCTATCTGGAAAACTGCAACATAATAAACAATGATGTTAATTATTTTATCTTCTATATGATGGTACCGTGGAGCTAAGATCGAATCACTTGGTGATTGCTAACAGTGACGTGCACAAACAGCGACTCCAGTAGTGGAGTCAGATATAGTCATCAATTGCATAAGCAATTTTATTTGCATGCCCAAAGTTCCTACTCTTATTTATTCCGTAAAAAAGTATTATCCATTCTATGTAAATACCTCGTGAATAATTCCCGCCACCGTTCTGCCACAGAATCTCTAGTGGACAATTTGATATCTTTTGGTATGTGTAATAAATACAACCAATCACGCGAACTCTCATCTAACACATTTTAGCTTTCCGTGAGCATCGCTGGACATCAGAGCACCGACTGTCCCCAGCTACAAGCCGATGTTCTTAAGACTTCTTGGTCAATGGAATGTCTGCTGACGATAGTTTAACACAAATGGACTTCACAAATTTGTGAACACATTATTATCCCCATGACAACGTGACGATGACCGAGTTCATCATTTTAAGGATTAGTCCAATCATCAGATAAATTCTTTATAGTTCATGTCCATACTGTCAAAACAAGGATTGTATTCTTTACCAATTCTGTCACATTGAATGCAGTATCAATTAGGCACTTTGTCCTTGACCTTGGAAGACTGGATGAGAGGTCATAACCCCGGACGGAATGATTAATAAATAATAATGTCATCAAACATGTGCCTCGTTTTCCTCATCTTCCTCTTCGTCATCGTCATCATTTTTTACAATGCAGCACATGTAACATGAAACAACGATCCCCACCAACTGAAATAAGGAATTGAATGCACACTTGATAATGCGTTGTACCATTTCAAAAACATTAGATAATGTCAATACTATAGTATATGATTTATTCAAATACATGTACACCTTGACTATTTACAAGAAATACTATACAAACCAAAAGCAATGGCACAGTAGCACATCCTATTGTAATGTACAAGGAGTGTTGTTTGATGTACTCCAATGCCTTGTCGTAGCAGCCCTGGAAATGAAAAAATAATTATATAACATTGCATAATACAGCAGTGCTAAACAACGTCTGTATATCTATCGTCAGATTTCCGTAATACTGTTTTTGTCATATATATATATATATATATATATATATATATATATATATATATATATATATATATATATATATATATATATATATAATATAGCTACAATCATGTGCATAATATTTACTTTTTGAGAAGTGTTTCATCTTCCGATGAGAAAACCCGTTTAAGCAGACATTTGCGAGGATTCAATTTTGGCATTGTTAGCCAGGGTGTTGAGATAGCTAAAATTAACTATCGCTAACAATTTATTCCTCATTACAGATTACCGCTATCTTTCTATGCGCCAAAAAAATCGCTAAAATTACTTCTCGTTAAAATTAAATGCTGATTTTCAAGGATAAATCGCTGAATTTGCGTCCCGCTAAAAATTCCACTTATACGGTATAATAAATTTTCTTACCTCCTTATATAAGCTAGGATTCTCCACTGTGCCCCTGGCTGGTGGCGGGGCCCTTACGGGGTAACCGTTAAATTCATTCCTGATGCCCTGACAGTCAAACACATTCATCCCCGGGACACAGCAGCTCTTGGGCACAAACGGATACACTGAAAGAAAGGAAATGACGTCATTATTCTTCTCTTTATATAGCCTTATCTGCTTTTTGTTATTTTTCATTGATCAAAATTGAAAATCAAACACTACAATGTATATAAAATACTTATAACTCTTGTACATCAGCTTAATGATACAGTGAACATCACGAACTGTATTTGGTCTAGTACGGCATGAACAGATTCTAAAGAAACGTGGGAGTTACGGCTTTCAAGTTAGTGTGTGTAATTGTCTGCAAGGCTCTGCAAGAGTGTTTAAGCTGAACTTTTTTAAAATTACATATAGACATAAATTCTTTTTTCACTTACTTATATGGGTCGGTCGCTTTATGTACCAATCTGTGTTTCTGTAAAATGCCCAGGACGTTTGTGAATCTTTGTCACCGTACGCACCGCAGCATTTGAGCTGAAATTTGAAAAAAAAATATCAACATTTGTGTAAATGACAAATATAAAACACAAATCAGCTACTACAATATGGAATACATGTAGCTAATAATACGTATTTAAGGGGTCTACAGACATAACAACTAGACAGAACAACTTATGTCGGTCTTTGAGGTCTGTACAACTTATTTAAGTTTAAATTTATTTTCACAAAACGTCTGTACCACTAATTAAAGAGTGTTCTATAGTTTTGACACTAGGTCTGAACCACTTCTTTACGAACTCGTGTCAACAGTTTCGACACTAGTTCTTTACCACAAATTTACGAGTGTCTATAGTTTTGACAAAAGATCTGTACACAATTGATAGGTGTCAATGGTTTTGATAGAGGTCTATTAACTTTTTTACGGGTGTCTGTAATTTTGATACTAGGTCTGTACTCTTACCGTTCTCTGCATGGCGTCCCAGGCATCCGTTATAAGATTATTTCCTGAATTTTTGTTTAGATCAACACCATACTGTCTCTCCAGTGTATACTGGAAGTGCAATTTAATGTCTTCATCAAGCTGGAAGAAAAATAAGAAGGTTCATGAACTATACATCGATATACCGGGACAATACTACCATACACCGATATACCGGGATATAACTACACATGTATTTATTTAGAGTGATTCATATTTTAGCAATTAGCAAATATATTACACTAATTCGTGATACATTCACTTCTACATTATGAATGAAAATATTAATAGCGTTCATTTATGATTGCGCTATTTAATACATGATGTATTAACATTTTGAATAAAATATAAATTTAAACTGCCGCAATTCATATCTTAATACTTCAGTTGAACTTTGGGTATTCAGAACATCGATATCTCGAATATCATGGATATATCGAAGTAAGATGGAAGTACAAAAACATTATCCACATGTATATGCATTTCTAACCTTGATTTCTTGAATTCTCGGATTTCTCTCGGTTTTTAATCGGTCCCATTGAGTTTGAGATAACAAAGTTTGACGTCATATACAGTAAAACTCGGTTATAAAGAACTCGCTTACAGGGAAATCACGGTAATAAGAAAACGTTTGAGAATCCCGTAGAAGACTTAGCACTACGTTCCTTATACGAATATAAAGAATCTCGGTTAATAGGAAGCAGAACTCGAGATCCCAATCACTTCCTTATCACCGTATGGATGACGTAATTGAAGGGATATGTAACATATCCGGGCTTACGTGGTATATACAGTATAGAAGGGGTACTAGTATGTAACATTTCCGGATTATTGTTATATATATATGACAGTTATTATCTTACTTTTCCTTTTAGAATAAATCCCATTACACTCCCACCAACCAACAATGCCAGTACCAACGTCAGCACTCCGCCATACTGTAAACAAAGTGAAAAAATATATCTAGCTGTGTCTCACTCAATATCAACTCAGGTGAAACATCCTGAGGTTTTTAGCCAAATATGGAAGTTACAGGCAAACTCTACATATAAGTGAACAATAAGAGTATTTTTGAAACTATGTACCATGTCTGTAAATAGAGATCATTTTATTACTTACAAATCCAAGAACAAACTTCTCTTTCTTCATTGTGCCACAACATCCACAAAAGGCGAGGATAAACACGGCCCCGCCCCCGCAGGTCAGAAAGTAGGCCATATACTCAAGATGAAAAATGTCGAAGAGGGCGGACAGCTCCCGGGCATTGTAATCCTTTACCAGTAGCCATATCCCCGACCCAACCACTCCGGATCCCAGTACCTGAAAAGGCAATAGAAAAACCATTTATTATTCATTTTCGTTTCATAGAAAGGGCAATTCATCAAATAAATACGGAATTAATCGTTCTTGTGTAGGGTTATATACAGGCTTCAGTTTGGATATTCTGTTCACGTCCATCTTGTTTAACCATAATGGACCTTGGGCTTAGGATTAAGATTTGATGTCATAATTAAAGACAGACATACATCTTCGACAGTGTGGTCATCTGTCAGACTCGTCACCAGGGACTGACTTCTGCAGAACACTCACCACACAAACTGGTTACCATGCAGGAACACTCTATATAAGATTCGTCTCTCCTGTAATATTGAGTGAAGAGGATCGCAAAGAAAACCTAACCAGCGTAATTAACACTGGCGGATTTAGAGGGGGCCTAGGGGACCCGGGCCCCCCTTTTGTGTCCAAAATATACTTAAGATTTAATAAATCATTTTTTTTTTGGTGTGGCGGTGGGCCTCTTCCCCGACCCCAAACTAGAACTGCCCCCCCCCCTTTTCAAGATTCCTGGATCCGCCACTGATTAATATTGATGAGGAGCATCATGTCGGCTGAGAGGGTGGTTGGATTGTGTCATACTGATCTACAAAGTGTCCTCTCAATGGAGCACAGTCATATTGTGACGTCATAGGAGTGCTTAGTTGCTCGTTTTGTAACTCAGTGCAGACCGTGTCTTGTTCTGGACAAAGTGCACACTTGATCCTCTCTGTGATGAGAGGCCATTGATCCTGTGTATAAATCGTACACAGCCTCTCGTTGATTCATATTTAATGACAAATGACATAATCTGACAACTTGGACTGAACGTTAACACTACCAAAGTCACGTGAATAGGACTTAACAAATCATTATCCCTCTGTCTCATAATTTTGGGGATTCTAATGTAGGCTGGGTCCCCAGAGACACACATCGAATCAATTTATGACGTGAAAGTTCATAGAAAACAAGCGGGAATTCCGCATTCTCCCCTTCCGTCCGAATTTTTCCTCGTATCTCACGCTTAGGCAATTGATTTACTTAAGGAGTTGTCAGAAACAATTTTACGTATCTTCGTCGGAGAGATTCTACGTGCATAAAATAATTGAGAAACACAACGAGGAGTTCGGTAGTTTGACACGTTTATGAGTTGAAAATAAACACATTTCAAAATATCATTTCTCCTTATTCTCAAGATTCACGGAAATGGTGGTTAAAAAGAATTTTTTTTTTTAAATTTTCAGTGGTTGAAATTAAATCCACGTCAAAGATGTAGAAGAAAACCGTATCCCCTTCCCTCTTTTAAAATCAGATATGCTGCATTATGCAATTTTTTCAAACATTCATATAAAAAAATAATCATACCATTATTAATAAAATACATCACATCTACGCCAATCTCAAAAGTATTAAATGCAAAATTGCACATGACGTCATATGTGACGTAAAGGCCCATTCCAGGAACAGAAGCAGCCCAAAAGTTCATAAGCTCTGTTTGCATGACAGTACAATTAACGTATTATTTATTATGACTTATTTCAGACTTTGATTGTCATTTCGGCTGTACTCTGTCTACATTTACCAAATCTCCTCACTGATCTCGCTAGATCCATTCAGAACGTCATCATTCATACGTGGACGCGATAATTGAAGAAATCCCTCGCAGGATTCCAAACAAAAAACAAAAAAAAACAATAAATCTGAAAATGATTACAGAAGAATATCCGAGCGGAAAACAGCAGCTCGTGTAAAGGAATGATTTAATAAAATGTCAGTGCGCTGAAATATAGTGTTGAGACAAGGAAATCCATCACTCCGGGAGATTAATTAAAATATCACATATCCCCGTGCTCAGGCTAAAAGAAGCAAGTGCACGCAACTGGGCCTATTTGTACATATCGCGTCCTGGACCAGAAATCAATCGGACCTAGACAAAAGCAGAGGTGGGATATTTATCATTAAAACCTACACCTGCAAAGTTCTCTTCTTTGTCCTGTTAATGAAGTTTTTATTGCTTTTTGGATTAATTCGGATTTATATGTTTTGTAGTCAATAGTGGAATTATTTATAAACACCCTTGTAGAAAACCTCTTGGTTGATATTGAATAAATATCTAAATTAATGCAGATTTTTTTAATTGTATAAGTTAGAGCCTATCAATAGAACGATAACATTGATAAAAATAATCGCTGCATAATAAAAAGATGCATTGTGTTAGCCCATAAAGTTAATTCTTGATATAAAACATTTTTTCTCTCGTTAATACCCTTTATAGTAATCAAAATAAATAACCAGACCGAACTTCCATGAGAAAATGAGTAAAATTGCTCTTTAAACTTAACAACCAATCCATTAAACCAATTAATGAATTTAAAAATTAATTAAAGCAATAAAGTCTATAAAAATCTATGTCATGTGTATGTTTGATTAGATAAATGTAAGTAAGCTTGTTCAGTCTTGATTTGTGCATAACAATACATTTTTGCACTAAAAAATAGAGGCAGTAGGTTGATGTCGATGCTGTTTTTGTTTTTAATTCAATTGTCTTATAGTATTTATTCCAATGTAACATTAACCAAACAGTGTAGATGTTTATAGACGCCAGCTAAAGACGTGCAGTCTAACAAATATGATAATATTAAGAAATCTCTCAGGACTTCCTTGTTACCAAAATGGCTCAAATTCTTTTTATTCATGTGCCAGCCATATCAGAATATTCCAATGTAGGCACTACTTAAATCCCCAAACGCCATAAGAGTCATGAAAGATAATAATATCAATATATAAGTGCATTTTTCATAAATAATCGTGTAAAAACCGAGCTGGCATAAATTGCCTTGCCTAACAAGCGTACAGAGATTAAATATACGCTTTTTTATCCTGAAAAAACTCATTAAACGTCACCCTGTATCTCCCGATGTTGCAATAACCTGGAACCCATTAATATTTACAACGTTACGGTAAACGTCAAATAAAGGAATAGCCATCAATCCGTGAGGACATCGCTTCTACTATCTCTTACAATCACCAAACAAATTCCTCTTTATACAAAATCTGGGTAAAATCGTATATTTCCAAACATTTCCAATGACACTGCGCATTTTCAAAGCGTCAGTTAACTTTAACGAGGTTACAAATAAAGAATTTGCCAATACCCCATGTCACTAACAACTAGGTAAGACTTAATAAGAGTCATTTTTCTTAATTTCAAGGTCAAAGGTCAAAGTAAACCTAAAATCGGGGATGTATTGAAAACATACTTGATTAACACCGGTGTTTGGTCGTAAAATTTAATAGGATACAGACTGTACAATGTAAATTTAATTTTGTTAATTACAGAAATAAAAAGCGCAACATTTATAAGGTCAAATAAAAAAAAATGTGCGTTTCTGGTAACATGTTAAAAAAAAGGGGGGAGGTAGAGATATTAGCTTTTTTTTTTAACTTTATTTTGAAAGCATCACTTAATTAATCAATACACTGTTTTTATCATATATACACGCACATTTCTTAATAAACATACAAAACAAAAGAAGTTTACTACCGTACTCTTTAAAACACTTGAATCGTTACATTTTACGCTGTCTGAGACATACATTTTATTGACTACACCATGAGAACACTGTACTAGTGAACAAAAATACAGTTCAAAATCCAGATCTGGAATAAAAAGTAGTAAGGTATGTGGGTAAAAAAAAAAAAAAAGGCTCGCTCGGGTTACCGGAAACACACATATTTCTTTTAGCCTAACTTTTAAGGACAAAAAACAATGTCCTTTCTAGCACCTCAAAATAATTATATAGATGAAAAAAATTGCAAGAAAACAAAAGAAAAAAAAAACAGAACTAAATTATACAATCAGCAATCTGCAGTACATATTGATGTGTCACGTAAATTTTGAATTTACAGTTTTCGGGATAACTGTAAGAACATTTAATTTTTATATTTATTGCCAGTCGGTAAAGCAAAATTACACAAGAAGTAGAGGAATAGCTGCAAAGACGGTAGTTTCGTTTGCTTGGCATCCTTACCAATCAAAACATTGGACTTGAATAATAGTAGTGGCATTATGTCATTTATGGGGTTTCTGGTTATTCTTAAAATGAGATCCATGTATTAGATTTCATAAGTACATGTACAAGGTGACGACAACCTATATAAGAACTCACCAACAAAAAGACATTGTAACAATGGAGGACCCCCGCCAAATAGTGGAAGCAGCGATCCTTCTTCCTCCGCGCCGCACGGACATGGATCCGCCTAATCCTCTGTGACGTGTCATTTGAGGTGGTGCTGTATTTCTTCTGATTTGTGCTTTTCTTTAGAGGCTAAAATGACAAGGAAATTGGGGATGATGAAGGTAGAGAGTACTTATGTGGAGTGTAATCCGATGATAAATAACAGTCCCCGACAATTATCAGTCAAAATCAAGCAGTAAAAACTATGAAAGTTTATTATCATTTTCTTAATTCATATATATCACTTAATATTTCCATGTGAGATTTTTCAGACTGTCAAAGTTGCTTGTATTCATATATAAATTCAGAGGTAATTATTGTCACGCAATCACCATAACACGTCTGGAAAGTGGTCATTCATTATCGAGGTGGGGCAGTGTGTGTATTTATTTCTTCTAAAATTCCAGACACCTTTTCTTTTTTCTGTGATTTACAGTATAGCAAGCCAGGAGGAGAATTCTAGACCATGTCTTTTGTTAGAAATAAAGCAATCGATTTTTGGCACAAAATCATAAATTCGCCGACTTCAGCATCGTCGGACATTTTAACAAAGAGGGTTCTTCCTTTTCAAAGTCGATTGTTCTAGAGCAGATGTTGAAGGAAGAACAAACCATGACGCAATGGGATTCATATTTTAGAAAAGCTGCAGAATTTTTTTTATATGTCATCACTCCTTCATTTTTAAGTGGAGAAAATAAACGCTGCCGAAACATGAGGGCTGAAGTGGTCTCTTAACAAAATACCATCAGCATTACTGTATTCATGGATATTTCATCATTAAGTTTTTTTTGTTTCTACGAATATTAATGTTTTCTGACACGGTGATAAGTGAACCACAATTCTATATAAAAACAAAGAAAGGAAGGGAGACTTTAAACGAATATCCATTACTGTATACATGTAAAATATGAAAATCTTACAACTAATTTGTTTCCTAAATCAAATTTTATTATATGTTGTAAGTGCCCCTTTTCTTTACTCGTGAAAGGGAACAACAAAAGCGTCCAATTTTGTGGAGAAAAAAATTGGCGCGAATGAAAGAAATAAGACTTACGCGTTCTAGGGTGTCTGTGGGGCCGAGTGACCTCTGGATGCTAGCCTCACAATTCCTGACCAGGTGAGCTACTTTACCTGTGGTCAGTTCTATAGAATGGTTTAATTTAGACGTCATTCTCGTTCGTGACAAAATGTTGGAATGAGGCGTCAAATATCGTCACATGGGGAACACCGGATGTTACTCAAGTGCTGTGGCTTATGTGCACATTACGAAATCTTTTTTTATATGTTTCATATTATATGGAATTACAAACATGAGAAAATTAAAAAGAAATAGAGACTAACTATTAATAAAATACTAAAAACACGAGGAAAATTGATTAAATTCTGAAGCTTGAAAATCTAGTCATTTTAATTATTTTCAAAACATTCGCCAAAGAATTTAAAAAGAAAACGGTTTACCAGGTAACACACCTGCCGTACAGTGCACACTGCACCTAAATACTACACAGGTAAAATACGAGAAAAATCTATGAAATGGGGAGTGGCAAAGGGCATTCATAAAAAAAAAACAGGACACAGGAAGAAGAATATCTGCGCTTTACACACAAAAAGCCGAGAGAAAGAGTATCTGCGCTTTACACATAAAAAGGCCCTTTTATTCACATTTAAAGTTTTACAAGTTGTTTTTTTTTTCCAAATAAATACAAGTTTTTATCAACTTACTCTAGAGTTCATAGTCCTTTTGACAATAGCTAAAAGGGACTTAATATTAATGTGTTTAAGTAATTTCGGATACGATCTGTCATACCTTGTTTTTACCAGTCTTGATACATAAGCATTTCATTACAAGGTAATTAATAAACAGTAAACAACTTTATATTCATCTTGTCATGTGACTCCGAATTCAGGATCTTTTTTAGTTTTCTAGCGTAATGTTTTATAATTTCCGGTTAGCCGACAAGCTCTCCTTGAAGGTCCAAGGGAAATACATAATGCGAGAGACAAAAGGCATTGCTCCTTCTTTTAAATAAAGACCAACGACCAGGAAAACATCCCCCCTGAGGCCCCCAAAGTCAAAGGTCACTCACTTTCTGTTATCTTAAATGCATCGCACTTCAATAGGAACACAGATTTATTATAATTTTAACAAACGTCATCCGATTCACTAAATTTTGTAGTCGTTAGCTAACGGAAAAAAGTTCCCAAAAAGAACGTGCACAAAAATTTCTACAATACCCCCCCCCCCCCCCCGAATAATCGTATTAAAATTTGAATTAAATTAGAATGAGATAAAATACTTTATTGACTAACCATAAATCATATTCACTGCAAACTGGTACTGTGAGAGGATTATATAGCGACACGGGGGATTCAGTAAGTCATTGTACTTCAGCATTCAGAAAAGTCAAGTTTTGACACAGTCAAAGCTTGCAATAAATCAGAAAACCCCTCAATAGAGCATGCAACATTGTGTTGACACAGTCAAGAACTTTGATTGACACAGTTATTAGGGCCTCTTTGTCGAGTTTACATTTTGTCAGTAAGGTTTTAAACAGAACACTCATCTTTTATCCCCTTACATCGATTCCCATTTGTCTCCCGTACTTACTCCTTCTGTGTAAACACTACTATTGAATTCTATCCCCGATATTTTTGTTTGTTTGTGTTTTATAGTGATGTAGAGGTACAATTCTTTTATGTAGCTGGAAATATTTTACATCTATAAACCATTAACTCCATCCGATTAAATTGTTTTCGCTGGAGAGGGGACGTCCGGACTTTGATGACGTCACTATTGGTCAACAAAGGGGGCACTTCATTCATACTTTGTTCTTCCAACGTTACAATTAAATTATCCGATAAGATTTTGTAACAGATTTTTGTTTACACCCGTGCACAGTCCCTCCCTTTTTCATTTCGGAAACTAATAGTTTTCACTTGCATTGTTACCTAATATTATTAAATTTATAGAACTGATGTCAACCAAAAAAAAAAAAATTCAATGCTTATAAAAATCTGTATCTTAATTCTGGAAATATATTCAATTCGTTTATTGACCAATTAAGGGCCCTCATGGGGCAAAAAGAAAGTACATTGTTAAAATGTATATAATGATTATGATCATATGATGTCTGCCCTCCCTGGTTTCTTTATTTCTATTATTCATGTCTCTGTTATATATTTCACATGTACCTCTGACTAGTTTGTACAATAATATATATTATATTGTACCCCCATGTACCAATATTTTGGTTTGAGCTATTAAATTGAACTTACTTTTGAACTTATTTTTTCCCTTTAAATCTCATATTATCTTTACCCGTTTTTTTTTTTACAACTCACCACACCAATGTGTCTAATACATATCTTACTTTCGACCAGAGTGACAGGGCAATGTGATAAGGCACCTAAATTATGGGGATTCCAATTGATTTTGTATTCTAGCGAATTCTGTACAAACGTCCCCTTACTTTTTTACTCACACGCATGCATAATTTCATGTTGGTCGGGTATTGTTCAAAATTCTTGGGATGCCCATTAAATATTCTTTTGATTCTGCAAGACGTGTATGGCAATACATTCCCTTCCATTGCCAAACAATGTACTTATGGCAGATTGATTGTAATCACGCTAAATCAATCTCTCCGCAGCCATTGATCTCCTTCTGCTAAAGACATTGTTCTCAGTGTCTTTCAAGTTTTATTTATACTCCTTTGATGTGTGAGAAATCCCCATCCACCTGGATCACCAATGATGAACCCAAATCAATGACGAAACAATTGCTTCCCCCACTTGTAGAGAGCAATTGAGAAATCCCTGTCATTTCCCTGTGACTGTATACACGGAATTCTCCTGTCTTACCTTCATTCAGAAAAGCAAATTTGGGGGGGGGGGGGGCACTCCACATTTTCAGTTTTTGGTGGGAACTACCGAGCCAATTTTTTTTTTAGACAAATCCAGTTGGGAGGGGGGTGGGGGTACAATCACATTTTCAGTTTTAGTGGGCACTACCGAGCTAAGTTTTTTACCCCCCCCCCTCCCCCGGTTCCTACAGTTGCGTAGTATTATTTGCGGTTGAGTTAACATGAGTTTGAATACTGAGCTACAACATTCAAGATTAACATTTTGTTTTGAAAATCAAAAAGTCCAATCTACATGGTCTAGGAATTTTTGGTGATGATACAAAATAAAGAGCGAGTCTGGGCTACAAAATTGAAGGTCTCTGTATTTGTCTCTTAATATCTATTTTACAAAGTAGAATGTGAAATATTCCACTAAATCGTAATCATAAATATATTGTAGATGTTGGACAAAATAACCTTTCATTCTTTGTAAATTACATATATTATCACCAGATGGCAGTAAATTCCTGTGCAATTCATAATGCTTATCGAATAATGTGTACATGAATAAATTAAGGGTAATTGCCAATACACATCACGATAAGGTCCGATTATCGACCATCAATTAAGACCGCTGGCTCTATCATTAACACGGCCATTTCAATATCTATCCATATAAATTATTAATTAAACTGACGTGTTCAAACTGACCAGTTCCTCTTTACCAATCATCTAATGCTATATGGCGAAATTGTTACGGAAACAACACTCTTAGAAGATTTTTGAAATATTTTCTGTCCTTAAAACAAATTTCACTTTTTTTAAAATGATTTTTTTTTATCAATTTCCCGTATACTACACATATCTGTAAATCTATCAGAAATAAACGACTTCCAGACTTCTCAGTTTGGTGGGTAAATTTAAGACTGACCCCCGTGTCGCTCCCCTGATATCTGATGGGGGTCCAGTGATAAAGTTGCCATGTTTCGCCTCATTCGCTGCCCTGAGAGTGTTTTCTTTTGTCCAGTTCGTAATCTCTTACATCATTATTAGTAAACAAATATCTTAATCCTGACATCTTTCCTGATATGAAATAAGAAAAACTTACCTCGAATACTTCATTAAATTCTGCCATATCCAAATTATTTAAAACCACTTTCTGAAAATAATGTTTTGGTGAAACTTTCAAGACTGCGGCACTTGACGGTTAATAAGAAACATGTGGCTTCATTCAGAGGACAGCCCGCATTTTCCAACATCGGAAAATATTCCCACGAGTAGATAGGGTGTTGAATTTCACAAAAGTTTCACAAACATGCGACAAATGTTAATGATAATTGTAGAGACAACTAACACTTAATTACACAAATAGTGGAATCACCTTCGAAACTTCATTACATCCAAATACACAAGTTGTGTCGCCTGGAGATTGCCGCGCACCCCGTGTTGCAGTGCGTCCAATCTTCTGCCCGATTCGTCCATTAATAATCCAGGCGCACGCCCTTTGTCGCAGTTCGAAACTAAATAATTCAATAAATTCGCTGCCGCATCTGTTTATTTCAATTTAACACATTATCCAAAAGAGGCAACATCCGTATATTTTGAGTTCGTGTGAAAGCTGCAGTGAATGTTTGGTCAGAGTAATACGCACACAGAAAACACAGAGAGTGGTCACAACCAAGACTCACAGAACGACGGTAAGAACTCTGTAATATAAACCAGTTTGGATCATTCTTTAAGTTCTTGAAGTAAGATTCTATCACCTTAGTTTTTTTTTTAGACAATGTAAAACGCCATTTTACAGTTCTTTTTGTAAAGTATTCCATTTTTTAAAAACGTTTCATTTATTTTTATCGGTAGTTAAGTATTATAGTATATATGTAAAGTTAGCTTTATTGATCTTGAGACTAAGAAATCTTACCTTTGAATAATTGATTGAACTTTATTACTGTATATTCTTTTGATATAAGAACTGGTCTATATTATACACCAAGACCAGACCGAGCTCAGTTTACTAGACAGGCACAGACTGCGGGATTTCACGCTCATGTTCCCCAGGGCATATAACTGGGGGTTCGAGATCCTTTATTGTTTTGTCCGTTTCATGCGGTCATATTAAAAAAAATCCAGGAGGTGTTGCTGTAATGAAACACCCCTTCGTCATCGCTGAAATATTACGTAAATGAGTTTTTCTTTGTGAGGATTGTGTAAATTCTTATGCGTATATACGCTGTAGATAATGGATTAGATATAAGTTTTCCACTCTTCTTTATTCCTTGTCGAGCGTTATTGTTTTATCGAGCGTCGGGTTGTGGATTCTTGGTTTACCCGACACCCCGTGTCTCATTCTGCCTGAGCATTTACCGGAGGAAGAGATGAATACTGCCATCATTTGGCTTTGTGACAAACGATACCTCTGTGTCTTAAGTAGACTTCTCGTAATTTAATTTGCGAAATTATTGATGAAAATGCCCAAAACGGACTTCTGCTCTGAAATTTTACACTTAACGTAGGTGTGACAGGTATGACTGGCGTGCACGCACAGGTAACAGAGTCAGAACGACAAATTAAGACGTCTTTTACAGATATATATCGAATCAGTGTTCTCTCTTCGAGTCAAAAACCTTTAAAATCAAAGCTTCTTCACGCTTTATCATTATATCTTCCTGAGGATATGCAACCATAAAATGTTTAAATAGATTTCCTTTTAGAAGTTAGTGTTAAAATCAAATGAATTAGAATTTGATATTGTGATACGATAGAAATACATTCGTATTGAGTTTTGTTTTATAATTGTTCATATCCTAACCATACTCATTGGCAATCTAGAAAACGTTTATGTAAGTCATATGGAATGATAGCAGATGATTTAATAATCTGAATAATTATCTGCAAATAGTTTCGATCAGAGATCATATTTTATAACCGTCTTTATTTTTTTTAATTTGAAAAATCTAATTTCCTAGAAACTACTTGACATATCCACTATAAAGACTCTCGGAATGATCAAGTGAAGAAATGTTTATTTGATTTTATTTTTTCTGTAAATCATTCACATAGATAAGTATTGTTTCGGTTTTGGGCCCAAAAGGTATATATAGCAATACAGACAGTTAAAGCTCTAAAGAGATTATATACAGACAAATATTGAACAAAAAGCAATACAAGATACTGCACCACCGACATGTAGATGTCAATACAGACAGTTAAAGCTCTAAAGAGATTATATACAGACAAATATTGAACAAAAAGCAATACAAGATACTGCACCACCGACATGTAGATGTCAATACAGACAGTTAAAGCTCTAAAGAGATTATATACAGACAAATATTGAACAAAAAGCAATACAAGATACTGCACCACCGACATGTAGATGTCAAGACAGACATTAAAGCTCTAAAGAGATTATATACAGACAAATATTGAACAAAAAGCAATACAAGATACTGCACCACCGACATGTAGATGTCAAGACAGACAGTTAAAGCTCTAAAGAGATTATATACAGACAAATATTGAACAAAAAGCAATACAAGATACTGCACCACCGACATGTAGATGTCAATACAGACAGTTAAAGCTCTAAAGAGATTATATACAGACAAATATTGAACAAAAGCAATACAAGATACTGCACCACCGACATGTAGATGTCAATACAGACAGTTAAAGCTCTAAAGAGATCATATACAGACAAATATTGAACACAAGCAATACAAGATACTGCACCACCGACATGTAGATGTAGTAGATTGGGAGAGCAGGTGTATATATATTTTTTTTCAAATATAGTGTATACAAACGTTTGTAAGTATATGAACAATATGAACATTATACTAACATGAATATCTTACTATATATATATATATAGTTGTCTTTCTGCAATTTTATGACATTACATCTATTTTTCTGAAAGTTTTAACTAGAAACTCACTCAGTTTGATAATTACTGATAAGTCTTCATTAATCATTTACCATATATGATGAAATTAAAATACATTTTTTTTTCACAAAAATTTGCAAATCTAAAAAAATTATAATAATTACATGAATAAGGAGACTGAAAACAAATGGCGTGTAAGAATGATTACAGACTAACAGCTACATCTTCGCAAGCCAAGGGTTTTCGGTCCGCTTCGCTCTTATATGGAGAGCGAAGCGGACCGAAAACCCTTGGTTTGCGAAGATGAACAGCTAGGGTACTTTTGCATTTGTATGGGAATATGTGAAGTACATTCTATCGTGTTTACTCCGAAAGGGAGGGTTGGGGGTGATAGTGTATTCGTGTCGCAGCCATAATGAGGAGCCCTTACCCTGAATGAATTCAATTTAGTGTGTTGTTCTTCATGAAAGAATGTTGTATTGACATTACTAGTATCTTGGAAGACAAGGTCAAAGGGAATGAGAATATAGAACCTTAATTGCTTTAGTATGCCAATGAGTATTGTAAAAGCACATATTTTTGTGGGGTCAAATTTTCGTGGTTTGAGCAAAATAAATTGGGTTCGTGTGAATTTCATTTCTTGGAGGAAGAATTGTTGAGTAGTAATATAAGTGGAGAATTCCATTGGTGGACATAAATACGTGAGTCTCCCCATACCTTGAAAACAACGAAAATTAACCTCCATAAAAATGAGTGATTTCGCAGTACTAATTTAATTAAATTAATTTTTCACGTGTTATTATCACACTGTGAAAATAACAGTCTTCTACTCCTATATTGTTAAATTACTTTGTCCATATTTTATGTTAAAATTACCATAATAAAGTTTATTTAATAAAACCTGTCTATTTTTTTTTTAAAAACTTATTGACTTCATCGTTTGCATAATTCTTGTGGATTCGCTGAGAAATATTGTTAATAAAGAAACACCTAATAAGGACAAAAGGAAAACGAAAATGATACACAGAAAATTCAATGTTTTATATTTCACTCATGAGACATGGTTTTAAAAGGACATAGACGCACTAAGTTCTGAGTGCACTCATAGAGTTGAGTTGTCATGGTGTTATACTCCGTGTGGTGGTCAGGATAAAAACACTTGCAATGCCGGTTTGTTTACAATTTTGCATTTCCTCCCTTATTTAACTTACATGAACATTCTTCATACGTGTTCATTGACAACGGCATTCTTCATCATGGAAGGCTTCCGTACGTTGGGTGCGATCGCAACCCCTTTAAAAGCAAAAACGTACTCCAACATATCATTTCTGAACATATAGATTCATTATTCATCCGTGTGAAATAATGCTGCTAGATAAAAATATTTGAAAGAATTGCTTCTAGAATTCACCAGAACACACTGAATTGGTGCCCATTTTTTAGTTCGTGAAAGTTCAGGGATATATGCCGATCCAGAACACCCGAAAATAATAGTTTTGATAATATTTAGATAAAAAGAAGTTTCTAAACTTTAATGATATATCGATCTGAAACGCTCTTACAACATGTGAAAATATTTAACAAAAATTTGAAGGCTATAAACTTAAAATCTCCATGTGTCTGTCTGTGGAAGGCAAGATTTTCTTCGCAGTGCTTGCGAGAAAGATGACGTCCTATATAGATGAGAACGGATATGGGGATATGTGGATACATCAGTGCAGAAAGGGGAATACCAAGGTTCCAAGGAGATCACACCAGTGTCATCTCACAACTGATCGCGGAGAGCAAGACACCAAAGTTATAGGATGTACTATATCTGTAGTCCTTTTCGTTATGGCAATGAATCTTTTGATAAAGGCGGGAAGACGATAGACCAGGGGACCAAAGACCAAGGCAGACATCAGGCAGCCACCGAGCAGACGCTGAATAGAGGATTTAACCTTCACCACGTAAACAACGCTTACAGGTGAGATTGGAATGAAGAGCCATAGAGAAACATCCACTTGGGCCGGAATGAAGTTCAAGCCTGTCAAATCGAGGTGTTTGGTTATAAAGAAAGGACAGAGCACTCAAAGATTCATACTGAAAACCCAGGGTGAAGAGTGACGTCTATCATCAGCAATCCCATCAAATACCTAGGCAAATGGTACTTACGATGGCACGCTGAAAGACGTCAACAACAGCAGACGGCTAGAATAGGACACAACAAAGAGGGTGGTTAACGTCGATAATACAGGTTTGCCTGGGAAATTTAAGGCATGGATCTTCCAGCAGGCACTCTCCGCCGATGGAGTGGGGAGTGGGAATGCCACAGAACTTTTCTTCAACAATTAGATTTTACAGTTAGGCCACCAAGATTGATTGTATGTTGTTTTACGTCCCGTTCGAGAATTTTTCACTCATATAGAGACGTCATCATATACCGTGAAGGACTTCAAATTTAGACCTTTACTCGGCACTCAGGGCCATTGAGCAGTGAGGGTTCTTTCACGTGCAAACGCCAACCGTGATCGGGGCCTCGGTTTTTATGGTCTCATCCGAAGGACCCGCAACTTTCACTTCAAAGTGTCGAGCGCTTGGCGAAGGAACAGTTGCTACTTATTTCTTATCGACTTAGGTCAGTCGCAGCCGTGATTCGAACACACAACCTTCCGATCACGGAGCGAGCGCTCTACAGACTGAGCTACCCTGACGGTTAGATCACCAAGATGCGCTTACTATAGTATCTCTCAATTCAGTGGTAGAGGAATTCAAA